TGCTGAGCCCCAAGTCCAGCAGCCACTCCGCAGTGGGCTTCAAATTCTGCTCAATGCTGTATCCAAGAATTTGCGGCAAACCTGCCACTGCCTTTGCAACTTCTCTCTTTTTCAGCCCCAGCCCCAAAAGCCACTGTATTCTTGGTTTCAGGGTCCCATGAATGCATTGGCCATACGACTTAGAAGCCATCTCCATCAACTGGATGTCTTGTGCGCTGAAGCCTTCACTAGCAAAATAGCTTGCAATCTCTTCACTTGAGTTCCTTCCCAACAAAGCTGCAGCTTTCATTACAAATCTCTGGCTGTCCTCTGAAAAAGTCCATTGATCGCTCAGCATCTGCAGCCGGATCTGTTGCAACACACTCGGTCGCATTACCTGTTGGAGCCCGGTTGCCATCTGTGAAAGGGCGCTTTGCAAGACCTTTGCTAGTGCTTGCTCTTCTCCTTGACGCCAGGTATCCACTCCAACCCAAAGAACACCTTCTTGCAAAAGAGGTTTGTGCAAGGTGTGGGTTATTCGGACAATGACTGATCCCTCCGGTGCAGAAGCCAATAATGCTGCATTCTTCTTTCGATCCCTTGCAATGCCTTCCCTTTCCCCATGCCTCCAAAACCCATCATATTCCACAAACAGCGCGGCGTTCCTGTCTCTGAGAACGCCATAAGCTGCCAAATCGGGCTGCAAGGCGTGCCCGCCCCACCCTCGCGGTGCCCGAAAGCTTCGGAAAAGCTCTCCAATCTCTTCAGACGGCATGAGGACGGCAGCCAGCTGCGACAATAACTCGGCCTCCGCCAAACTCCCCACTCTGCCTCTGGGCCATCCATTTCTCCACCATGCTGGCACATAGGCCAGTGGCAAAGCCAACAAGAACAGGCCCAGAAGTGGCCGCCGCATGCTTCGCATGTGCACGGAGCAGCCCGCTCGAATTAGTGCCACACCTGCTTCGAGAGTCATTCTCGCGGCATCCTTTTGGCTGCTGCACCCGGGCATGCCTCTGGAGCTCGGTATGCCTGTAAAATATGATTTCCGGTGCATTTGGTTGTTTTTATTGGGCCCGGGGAGATAAAACCATAATGCGTTTAACCCTCTCCATGGGATCGCAAACTCTTCGGCGGCCTCATGCACCGAAGGTGTCAACATGTTTGCTGCGATCGATTCATTCCTGGGAAAACATGCTGCTCAGAGATGAAAAGTATTCAAAAAACATCTCAAAACCCATCTCCTACTGATTTGGCCATACCCACAGCCAGTCTTTCTTGTATGTTCCATCTCTCTTTGCATGCATATTCAAACCACTCACCTTGGGACTTTGGCTGGTGCCTTAGCTTCAAACCATGGGACCCGAATGAAGCTCTTCATGAATGAGATGACAAATGACATGTGATGTCACACTCCACGCGTGACATTCCGACCAGCTTGGCAGCTTTCTCCCCGTTTTTTGACGTCCGTCTCTTTTCTACCCTTGGAGGGAGGTCAGGCCACCATCCTGCTGGTTAGGCTGCCATCTTGGTTTATCCGCTGATTCTCTCAAACACCCACAGGCAGCAAGTCCAAGTTTTCTCTTTGAACGCAATGCAAAAATAATAGAACTCAATGTGTTTCACATCGCAGATTCTTTTTGTCGGTTGGTTGGTTTTCAAGTGGGTGTGTTGTTGCGTTGGTTCGTTCTCAAGTGAGTGTGTCACTGGGTTGGTTGGCCAAACCACCAAAGACACATAAAGTAAACAAGACCCATTTGGATTGTGCCTTTCCATATCTTTTCATATGGGGTTCTCGTCTATTAAGTTGACAGTCTACATTAGTGCTCCCAAGGCAGGCAGTTGCACGTTGTTTGAACGGAGGTCAGTGCCACCATCAAGCTACAAATGATCATGTACCCCGCTGAAAACTAACATGGACCCTGAACACCACTGGTGCAGCTAAAGGAAAACAGTCAGACTCAGGGTGCCATTCGACCCGGGTCCATGTTACTTTCCGATAGCGTAGTGCTTGTCACCATTCTTCACCTCCTCCCCGTGTTGTTCCAATCCGTTCCCATCAAACATCAGTTCGTTACCAGGGGCCTTCTCCCTTCTGTCTGCCCCCTCAAACCAAAAGAAACACTAACTAACCCTTTCCCATCACCAGAGGCCAAAGCCATGCCCTGAGAGGCGCACCATTCGTTCGCTCTTCTTGGCCACGTCAAAAAAGTCCTCCAAACGGCCACGCCCGCGGACCGAGGAGGGACCGGGATCGAGCCAGAAGCAACTGCCACTTTTCTCTCCAACAACCTTCAACTGTACCTTCAAATACCCTCAAGTACCTAGGTACTTTGACAACATCTGGGCATAGGTAGGCATTCTCAAGTGCATCATTCTTCCCGTCACGGCAGTCTCGGTTCTATGAGGCACGAAAACACCCTGAGGACGACCGGAAATTCGAAGAAACATCATAGCTCTCTGCCACCACGGAACGGGGGTTCGGACGTTAGTATTACTTATAACATCTTATAACTTATTACTTGCCTGAAAATGTCCCAGTCAAAGCACCGGAAGAACAACAATTGAACGCACATCAGAGTGGATGCACAGCTCCTTCTCATCAATCATCGTGTATTCGCCGTGCCCTGATGCCAATTTCTTCATCTTATCCTGGCACGTCTCATCACATCACGCTGGAAGCTGAAGGGGCTTTTGCTGGTAGTGGATACATCCGGTTCCCAGCTGCTACGCAGCTAGATCTTCCTGCTACATCCCCTGCATCGCCTACCCCGTCAGGTCTTCGAGATCGAAAAACGAAACGAGTGATCCTGATAGAGAGGCAAGCGGACTGATTCTGAAAGAAGCCGCCCATCGTCAAGACTAGCGAACACTCACCATACTTCCAGAAATTCTGACCCTTTTCAGACCATACTTGCACAGCCAAGCAGCGAGGGTGGCAGCTTAGGTTTCGCTTAGTACAGGTGCCTAGTAGGTGCCCCCCAGCCATGCCCAGAGGGCCCAAACCCACTGAGCTGAGCACGGCGTGGTTGGACTTCATCTTTTCCAACCGCTTCCTCCGCAGCTCCTCCAAGTCATCCTCCTGATCGGTGATGTTGATCTCAAACGAGAAAGGGAAACAAACGATCACAGCTACGACCATCTGCGATATCACAGGAGAAACATTTTTTAAGTCCATCATGATAATATATCTCAAAGCTACCTCGAAGAGTCACCTTTGAACAGCCCAGTCTAAGTCTACGGGATTCCTCTTTGACCTCTGTGCCATCTTTGGACTGAGCCGCCTTTTTCACTTGGCAGAGGCTAATTGGCACACTGAATTCTGAATTCTGCGTTTCATGCCAGTCTGTAGGGAAACCATCCTTACTTCTCCTTGAGTTTCTTCCTCGCAATTTTCACACATACCGTTCATGCAGTTCATGCAGAAGTTGCCCTTATGTTTGGATCTATTTGGGGATCTCCAAGCAGCTCCAAATCCGTCACAAACATTTGACATCATTTGACATTATACAGACCCAAGATAAAGTTTTTTAAGAGGGCCTCCCATTTGTTGAGCTGGGGCAACTATAATAACTATAATCTCTCTTTCTCGTCCCAGCAACAGTGGTATATCATGGTATATCCTATTGCCAGCAACAATGGATGATGCTGAGGGTGGATCCAACATTATCCAACATGAGAAATAAGTGATCATATGTGATCATTGTTGACCGATTGTTACAGGTAAGTTTGGACAAACCCGCAGGGAATCCCTTTTTACTAATCAATCTCACTTAGCCACAGCCCCTGCGACAACCGCTGCGCCAGCCCCTGCGCCAGCCGATAATGTATAATGGGAATGGACGTACGGGGGGGGGTCTATACATTACTGGGTGGGTCTATCAATCATGGTATGTCATGGCACATCCTACTACCAGCAACACTGGATGATGCTGAGGGTGGATTCGGGTGGATCCAACATTATCCAACATGATCTCTTTCTTATTTCCTCCCCATCTCACGGCCGTCTCAGTTGTTCCGCGTCTCCTTGAGGGCGTCCAGCCGTGCGATCTCCGCATCCAGCTCCGCCTCGTGAGCCTGACGGGTTGAAGGCGGTGCCCTCACCTGCCCCGTGCTACTGGAGCCGAAGCGGAGGCCCGGGTGGGGCTGGTTGGAGTCAAGACACGTTCCTCAAAAAGACTGGCCTTCCAGTGTGCATTGGCACTTCCACGTGCCAACCAAAAAAATAAAGAGAACAGCAACAACGCCTTTCCGCGCGTCGCATGGCGCCGTTCCTTGCATGCTTTCGAGTTGGACTTCAAGGAGGCAAAATTGGAGTATGTTGAGGATCTTTTCGACTTGTTGATCGATGTTCTATTTTTTTTCCGGGCATGTCTCGAGCGACAAAACAAATAAACAATCAAAACACACACACACACAACCGCTCGGTCTGACAGACGCTCGTGGGGAGGTGCGGAGGTGGGTGAGATGATGCTGGACGCGCCTCTGCGGCCTTGACCAAGACATCGTTCAAGATTTGGACGTTCCTGGGGAAGGACGGACAGGGAAGGTGAAGGGCATCATCCTTTTCTGAATTGACCGGTCAGTGGTTGAAGGGAAAGGTGTCAGGGAACACCTACAGGAAAGAATGGGACATGTAGATGAAGCCCCCAAAAAAGGATGGTAGATGTTGCCTTAGACCAATTCATTGAAGCGTCCATCTGATTCTGTAATTCTTTCCACAAACAGGTTTTGAAATGACAGTCATCCTCAAGGAGATAGGATCAGGAAGAGTCCGAGAGTATCACTATAGTTGCCAAGTGTTGAACTAGTCAAACTCCAGATCTTGTTGCCAATTGTATGAGGGTATGACTAGTTTGGACCGGATTCTTGTATCTTTTCAAGCTCTATATCTTCCGGTCCAAATGACTGCAGCTTCCACTGGCGGACCACCGAAACCGCAGCTGTTTCGAGAAGCGACTTCCCGTCTGAGTCTACGCCAGGACTCTGCTCGTAGTAGCCCATCCTGTGTCGAGCTACTTCTGCGGCCTGGCGGGGCTAGCAACTCAAAACAGTGGTTACATCTGGCGGGGTTGAACCGGTGTAAGTAAGAGGCCCATTCGGGGGCCTTGTGCATGAGAAGGCTCAAGGAAACTCGTGTCAGACTGGATTGGAGGGTGGGTTGTGTATTGGAACAGGGAGACCTCCTCCTCGTTCACTCCTGACCCTTGCACACTCAAATACCTGCCAGGGAAAAGAGACGAGCAATCATGGTGGGTTAGGTGGAGTTAAGTGTCGAAAACAATGCTTTGATGGGGATATGTTCACTTCAATTTCACAGGACCTACACTCCCTAAAAGAAATCATAAAAGTCGAACGCAGACCCTTGGAAGATCCATTTTCTCCTTTTTAAGGGGTCTTGGTCAGCTTCCATGATTGTTGGAGGGAGGGTAGAAAATGCAAATCCATTGGTGGATTCCGACAGCCCTCTCTGATCGTCGCACTGAAGATTTGCTGGCAACATCTGGCCTTGCTGGCAATGGAGGCACGTGACTCTGTTCTTGAACCCAAAGGAGCGAGGGCGTCGCTGGTTGATCGAACATGCGACGTCGTCGCTGGTTGATGGTTTCAACGAAAACAACAACGAAAGGTATGAGTCAGTGGGTTTCAATCATCCCAGGCAAAGGTTTGTCACATCACGACATGGGGATGGGTCATGTCCATCTGGAAAAACCCGGGCTGTCGCCATGTCCACTGGACGTAGGTTGACCTTCCAGACTTCCGCCGGTAGGTCAACCAAATGATAGGTTTGGTGCTATGACCCACAGCCAACAGCCATATCTGAAACCACCACCACCTGGGAAGAGACTTGGACCACCACTCGTTTGCTGCATATCATGAGCTCGGACCAGCAGTTGCTGAAAAAAACATAAGTCATGCTGACATATCGAGCAACACCATGCAACACCTAGATTGTTATTCCTTCTATGCCCCAGATCTGCAAGAAGGGTCAACATGTCGAGTTCACTCACTTTGTCCTCAAAGACCGAGAATGTTGGTGGTGTTCATGACCCAAGATCTACCGCGAGTGCTATAAACCGCCTAACATACTAAGATTGTTGGACGGGCACTCCTCCCAATGTAAACTGACTCCACTTGCGTAGGAGTGAGTAGGAGATAGATGAGATATGATATATATGATGGATATTATAGGAGATTGCTCCACTGTCCTTTTTCTCAATGTCAAATTCTTCCCTTCAGTGGAGTAGCAGTGAGTAAACAGAAATCGACTCAGATTGATGGAGATCTGACTCTGGTCTTCAGAGGGGAAGACCAGAGCTACCGGGGAAGATAGAGCATACCGCGCTCTGAGGGAAGAGCTCAAGGTACCCTCAGTGAGTAGGAGCACGGTATCTGACTCTGGTCTTCCCCTCGACAGATACCGTGCTCCACACCACTCCCGCGCTACTCCCGTCTCGTCCGGTGGACCCGTGGAACCCAACCCCCTGCGAAGCGGCGAGCGACGTTCTACGCTTCGCGGTCGCGCCGTCGCGGAGCACCGGCGAGGGCGAACGGCTCGACTCACTCACCTTCGCCCACTCGTCCATCTGGATCGCTTTGCGCTCGTTGTCCTGTCGGGAAGTCCGCACGCGTGGAGCAAGGGAGGAACGGAACGACGAACTGCGTTGGAGTTGGGGCGCCTCTTGAAAGATGGTCGGATATCACTTGGGTGGATGAGTTCATGAGTTGCGGGTTCCTCAAAACACATCTCAAAGGCAAGCAAGGCAAGCCAGGCAAGCAACCTTTTCTGGATTCCTGGATGAAGTTTCTCGTTGTGAACTGGCCACTGGTATGAAGTCTGTAAAGTAATATGAGCCCACGACGTTCTCTGAAAACCACCGCCGCTCATCTCTATCTGGTCACCCCAGCAGTGTGATGAGTTAAAACCAGGAAGCACCTGAGACCAACAGCTCAATGCGACTCACAAGAAACAGGCTCAGAGGGTCCTTCGGTCCAAACGCACACCCCCGGCAAGCAACGTCATGCAACTTCGACTCTCGACCCGGTCGTTTGCGATCTTTTTCGTCGAGCGCCAAGCGCCCGCAGTCTCAGCACAAGCCCAAGTGGTTGTGTTGACATGGCATTGGCAGGGCCAATCTGGGCTTCGGAGCTAGTCAGGGTAGCCGCACAGTACAGTGATCAGGAAAAATCTACACCCACTCAAGAACATAGATCTGGTTCTGGACAACTTCATACAAATTGGAGCTTTCATGTGGTGTGAGAATGGATTCTTATTGAGGGGTGCAAATGGCTGACAGCCTCCAGGCAACATCCAATTTCTTGGGAAAAAAGAACACAGGCCTTGCTCAGCATTCAAGTTTTGCATTCAAAGATCTTTGCAAAAGCTGTCCTTGAAGGTGTTTTGGTCGTGATGTTTAACCTTCGTTCTATTCTCATTTGTTTCGGAAATAGTCCAGCAGGCCCATGAAAGTTGTCAGGAGGAGTATCATCGGATTCACAGCACTGTACATAGGCCAATCTGATGCAATCAGGCTCGCTGCCCCTTGCCTTTGCCTCAGAAGTGCTCACACGCAAAAGGGAGGAGCAGTTCAGATCAGCTGTTTGTCCGGAATACGAATGGACAAAGGTGCCACCGGGAGATTCCCATAGGCACATGCAAACACTCGAGGTTATAGGTCAAATCACGTCATTCGAGGCTATTTTGTTAGTCCAATCTCGACACTGCCCCGGCTTGGCTCACTCCAATCTCACGTCACATCCATGTCCCAGATCCAATGACGTCGCTTTTGGGGGATCCGTATCTGACATCTGGCTTGGGTATATTAGCAGTAACCGTTGATGATGATTGTGATAATATGTTTTTACTTGGAATGGTGTCCCTAGATCTGGCTTGCTCAGAACTCCTTTTTCCTTTAAAGTCACAGGTCCAATCTGTTCCGTTTTGTGAACCCAGACTTTACAGGGCTCGCGAGACGGCATCTAGCTCTAAAAAACCTCATGATGCTAACCCACGAAGCACCCATCACGCAGTTTCACAGGGGGAAAACACTAAAAAACACCTTCTGGATGATTTGGATGCTCAACCTGCAATACTCCCTCGTCATGTACACAAGCTCCACGTAACACTTGTGGTAAGTACCCAGGCTGCCCAAAGACCTAAAATTCCAGCTATGGCATGACCTAAAATTGCAAAATGGCCACCACAATAGCTATACTCACATCACACTATGGCTACCACATTTACTTCTGCCTGGCAAAAGACCTCCAATTCCCCGTGACGCTCGGCCGTGGCTCCACAGAGACCCGGACCTTTGCCTTTGGAGCTTCTGCGCCTCGAGCCGCACCGGTCGAGCGAGCCACGGCGGAGCCGAGCCGCTGTACGCCGTGGGCCCGCGGGGGTGGTGTCGGAACCGATGTCGGAGGGATGTCTAAGAGCGCTTGGACATCCCTCCAAAAGAAACCACTGTCAGGGGGGTGGTTTCTTGAGGGATGCTAAAGAGACCACCCCTGTGAGCATCATGGGGATGTGTTCTTCTTTTGGAGGGGTCCGTTTGGAAACGAAGTCGCCATAAAGGAGAGATGTTCAACCCATGACATGCTGAACTTCCGGCTTGACAGTTTAGCCTCCCAAACGTTTTTATCATGGGCCCTATACTGCTTTGAGGATCCACTGTTTCTAGTCACCTCCCACCTCGCCAGGGTATGGTCAAAGCGACCCACGGAACCACCAGAAGTTGTTGGAAATCAAAAAAAGAAAGGCACCGGTGCTTAACAACTACCGTAAGAACCCCTAGTGTGACCACACTGTTTGGGGAATGAATTGCTTTCAACCAGAAGGTTCATGGTTGTTCCGCGAAATGATTCATTGAAACCATTGAAATGGTTCTTTCATCTGTGGTTTGAATGAATTGGTGGTTCCGAGTTGTTCCACAAAATCATCTGTAGCTCTGGAGCCGCAGATACTGCATCAAATGTTGTAGCTCTGGAGCCGAGGGGAAAAAAGTCTGAATGGTGTGGTGGAATGTGAACCATCCCGCTGGAAGAAGCATCACCACAGGAACAAGCACACTCAAGATGGAAAATCTGCAACTGGTTTCGCTATTTGGATGGCACACCGGGACCAATTACATAGCTATACAAACATCTTCCTTTCTGAATGATCCACATACACCAGACATGACAAATATGACAAATGCCCCAGCAAATCCGAAAACCAACAAAACCAACCTCCTCCCTTTGATCCCTTCTGCGCCATGCGGCACCGTATGCGGCACCGTTCGGCACGTTCGGCACAGGTTCGAGAACCCGCGGTCCCCCTGGGGCTTCCGTGCTCGGTCCAAGTGGCGGCTCCCTGGCCCCCTTGCAGCACACAGCCTCGGAGGCGACCACCGTCTTCTGGTTTGTTCTTCGCTTTTCGCGAGGAAGGTCAGTGGGATGGGCGAGAGATGCGGGGGTAGATGCGCTGCAATAGATGCGATGGTCGGAAGGGCAAGGTTGGTCTTCAAAAGATCGACGGCTGAACTCCATCCCAATTTGGAAGATCAGCATACCAACATATACCAACTAGATTCATCGTCCTGGAGTTCAGCAAAGGTGTTAAAGGTGGCACATGAGAATATGTGTATGCGATATGATATGTCAATCAATGGCATTCTGATGCATTCTGCAGGCGGACCAAGGACATCGAGGACCATTGACCATGAACGAAACGTCGGCTATCGGGTCCAAACAAACGCCCCGCTTTCCGAGGATTTCCCATTCCATACCGGTCCGAACCTCAAACAACAATTCAAATGAGAATGCGTTCGAAGTCAGGCCATCCATCAAAGCCATCCCATGGCCACACCCCCTCGCCCCATCTCTCTTTGCACACGCGCAAAGCACAGGTGCCTGCGCGTGCCACGATCCCTGAGGCTAGGACGCTGCACGGCAGGGTCGACCCAAACCTTGGGCTTCTCCTTTCGCACGTCCACGAGGAATCCAGCAGCGACCTGGAGGAGTCCCAGTTCGAGCGGGAATTCGGTGGGACCGAGCGTGTGGTCTTGAAGAGACCGAATCCCCCTATGCAGATGTGAGCAAAGAAAAGTACTTCAGCTGGTCTTGGGCAGGAAAGCCAAAAAGGGGGGTCATCGAAAATCATTGGTCAAAGGGTCTGTACATGGTTGTGCCATCTACACTCCCTGAAATCATCATTGTTACGTGGATGGCATGGCCCCCAAATGGATGGCCATCTTCAGAAGACCAAAAGGTGGTGAACTCCACTTCCATGACTATTTCAAGGAGTGTCAGGAACATATCCTGAACGGGGCATGAAATCTCAGCAGTTCTTTTTTCAACAAGCCCGTGGTGATCTTCAAGACTACTCATCACAGGTATAGCCGCATGGCCCATGGCATGGTATGGCATACAACTGCCAGCCCAGCTCTATCTTACCCGAAACAATAAACAACACTCATGTTCACAAGGCTTTTGTCTTTCGGTCATCCGCGTCCTTCCTTATATATCCACCCCACTCACCCCAAGAAGGCCCTTCCTGGCATCCGCTGGCCTTGTTGCCCTCAGGAGAGCTGGCCATGGAGGACAAGGTCTCCGACAAGGCCGCTTCTTCGACGCCTGCGGGTTCAACCACTGCCCATCTGTTGATGTCAT